TATTATTTTATTTTTTATGCTTGCCATGAAAATAAAATTAGACACACGGGTAGTCGTCCCTCCTCCTCTCCGGTCATGTTCGTAAACAGGAAAATCTTTGCAGTATAATTAATGAAAAATCACGGATGTTATTTAGTAATTCTACTTAACGATCCGATCGCGTAATTTCCTAAAATATATGTAGAAAGGCGCCTAATTGTACTCGAAGAACGCGATTGTACTCGAAGAATTGCGAATTATCCGGAACTTTATCCGACCGTAAAGTTTTCGTACTCCGTGTAATTGTACTTTGTGACCAAGTCCAGCGTGGTTCTCCTGGCATCGCTCCAAATTCCGTGATCACCGTGTATTATTATCGGAAGTATTGTTAGTTGGTTTAAGAGGGCATCTATATAGAGCCTATTGTCGATGAACACGTACAGGCGAGTGTTGCCTTCTTCTCTGAAGAAGAAAAAGTATCGAACTCCGTTCTTCTCTCTCGTCTAGATATAGATCAAAAAGCGGAGGAGCTTCTCGCATATATTTCAAAGTCAAGTGTGTATAAGATTCTGACGTCTTTCGTGCGACACACGTAACTTTAGCGGATATTTTATAATATAAATCAAGGATATCGAAGCTTGGCTCTCTAAATAATTTGGACTCTCATGCATATATTGATAAATATTGTTTAACTTTATTATTTATATTAATAAATGTATATAAATGATGACTGCTACTTTTTTGTATGCTAATATTGCAATATCAAAAAATGTCCGGTAAAAATATCCGGTCATAATTGGAGTTAGAAACTCATGAATTTTGTTCGATATTATCCATTTTTTATTTGTTAATCCACAATATTATCGTGAGGTTAACTTTTATAATAAACTTGTAACTTTTTTAATAAAATAAATTTCTTGATAAGTTCAGAATTAATTTTTATCTCGGACAAAAGAATAGCGGGAAGATTCGTAGTATTTTTAAGTCTACTTAAATATAGGAAGTTTTATCGTAATCGCATGCTAAGGATCCACAAGATATATTGGAGTTTAAAGATATGTAACGGTTTCCAGTTGTTCTTGTACTTCTATATTTAGCAACGCGAGCACATTATATATGATTATATGTTTGTATATCCGTTAACTGTTGTCTAGACGGGTTATTCGATCGGTCGGATAGAAATTTGAAAAATATATTTGATAAAAGATTCCAAAGTATTTAAAGTAATGATTCATTTTAGAGCGTGAAAGTTCGAGTTGTCTACACACATTATTGCACATTGCATAATTTCTATTTAGCGGCAATGAGTAATATTTGATAAATATTGTTTAACTTTATTATTTATATTAATAAATGTATATAAATGATGACTGCTACTTTTTTGTATGCTAATATTGCAATATCAAAAAATGTCCGGTAAAAATATCCGGTCATAATTGGAGTTAGAAACTCATGAATTTTGTTCGATATTATCCATTTTTTATTTGTTAATCCACAATATTATCGTGAGGTTAACTTTTATAATAAACTTGTAACTTTTTTAATAAAATAAATTTCTTGATAAGTTCAGAATTAATTTTTATCTCGGACAAAAGAATAGCGGGAAGATTCGTAGTATTTTTAAGTCTACTTAAATATAGGAAGTTTTATCGTAATCGCATGCTAAGGATCCACAAGATATATTGGAGTTTAAAGATATGTAACGGTTTCCAGTTGTTCTTGTACTTCTATATTTAGCAACGCGAGCACATTATATATGATTATATGTTTGTATATCCGTTAACTGTTGTCTAGACGGGTTATTCGATCGGTCGGATAGAAATTTGAAAAATATATTTGATAAAAGATTCCAAAGTATTTAAAGTAATGATTCATTTTAGAGCGTGAAAGTTCGAGTTGTCTACACACATTATTGCACATTGCATAATTTCTATTTAGCGGCAATGAGTAATATAAAAAAAAAGAAACATAATACTTATAAACATAATTATCAAATATAATTATTTTCGAAACTTAAACAATTATCGTATATCGACACACTTCTAATCCTTCTAGCGTTAACAATAAATTATATGTAATTGTATGATGTGCTTGAGAACTTTTATCGTGATAAAATTTTTTCGTAAAAATTGTGTGTCGCGGCAGAAATGATCGCATTCTTTGGGTTATAGGTACTTGTGTCTGAATTATTCAATAGCTAGATATGGAAAAAGCTGCTGCATCGACATTGCTCAGACGCCACTGAATTATTACGATGTACTCTCGTTAATAAAACAACGTCGTGGCGCGTGGCTTCTTGACACTTCGCTCAGAATTAAATTTCCGCGAAGAAGAATTTAGTTTCCACTGAAATGAAACCACGAAGATTATTGAATAAATTTCTTCGATTCTTCGTTTTATACTTGTTCCGAGTATTATTCTGAAAAATTATTCTAATCAGGCAAATGACTCGAAAGAATAGTCTAATAATATTCATATCTCTTTAATTAGAAGGTTGATAAGTGTCATTTTTTTTGCTTACGTAGCATCATTAATTGTGGATACATTGGTTACAAAAAAGATGTAAAGTACAATAAATTATATGTAATTGTATGATGTGCTTGAGAACTTTTATCGTGATAAAATTTTTTCGTAAAAATTGTGTGTCGCGGCAGAAATGATCGCATTCTTTGGGTTATAGGTACTTGTGTCTGAATTATTCAATAGCTAGATATGGAAAAAGCTGCTGCATCGACATTGCTCAGACGCCACTGAATTATTACGATGTACTCTCGTTAATAAAACAACGTCGTGGCGCGTGGCTTCTTGACACTTCGCTCAGAATTAAATTTCCGCGAAGAAGAATTTAGTTTCCACTGAAATGAAACCACGAAGATTATTGAATAAATTTCTTCGATTCTTCGTTTTATACTTGTTCCGAGTATTATTCTGAAAAATTATTCTAAGCAGGCAAATGACTCGAAAGAATAGTCTAATAATATTCATATCTCTTTAATTAGAAGGTTGATAAGTGCCTTTTTTTTTTTTTGCTTACGTAGCATCATTAATTGTGGATACATTGGTTACAAAAAAGATGTAAAGTAAGGAAGCGCAGGGTCAAGTGTATTGTTAACCGCTTTATAGTGCACTTATTGATTATATGACGCATTTTTCGTACAAAAGAACGCACGGATAAGAGGAGCGAGAGGGTAGAAGTTGCTAAACATGCGGGGGGACGATCGAAACATTCGTATATCGATCGGCTTCCTACGTTGAAAACAGACCAAATCCGTCTCAGTTCGGTGCGACAGCTTAAGCGAAATTTTGGTCGATTACGAGAGCGCGCGCGCGAGATAAATCTGTCATTCACAGACGTATGCAAAATGCACAAGCGATAGAACCAGTGCAATCTCGGAATTAACCGCAAGCGTCGTGCTCTTTGATGCGAGTTCTTTCGTAAACCATCTGTCCTATTAATGCTTTTTGTCGCGTTTATACAATCTTCACGTATTCGATAATAATGTTCCGATAACGATGTCACGTGACAGCCGAGTTCTCATTGTATCAATCGAATGCTGTATCAATTGAGACATCGATTTACAAAAATATGAAATATAGCATTATGTACCTTTTTTCTAGAGAGATTCGTTCATTGGTCTAATAGAATTAATATGAATAAAAGAATTATACATATATAAAATTTGATATTGAAATAATATATGCGTTTCAAAGCGTTTTTTAATTTTAAAGCTTAATGATTTTTTTATTGTTCGATTAATGCGTGTCACGTCAGTATTGCGCAATATCGAGTGACTTGAGATAATATTCTTCGAAAATCGAATATATCTAAAATACAAATAATTTATTTAATATTATTCTATAGTCCTTGACATAGAGTCTGTTTAAATGCTTGGCTGATATATGTATACAATAATTGACTGAACAATCGAGGTCCGACGTGAGTCGGATTAGGTTAATTAATACTGGAAAGCTTGCAAATTGAAGTCTAATGGAAATCTCATAATCGTATAGCTTATACCATAGCTTTAAATAATGCAACGTTATCTATATCCGGAGCTGGATCGATTGAAATGCGCGGTCCAATAAACCAGACTGTCTTCCTCAAGCGTGTTTATGAAACCTTCTACGACGCTCGTCTCTTTTTTCTTTGTTATCTTTATAACGTTTTGGCACGTTACGGGTTACTTTGGGTTATAGAGGTCATTTCTTCGTAGTCTGGTAATATAACACGTCGCGATCCAAGCGCAATATTCGAAGCATCTCAAAACGGAAATGACAGATTTAACACTAAATAGTTTAAGCAAGGTCTATTGGATCTTATGAAATTTCTGTCGCAATTAATATTTCATATACATATATATTTTGTTAACTCTTTATTTAAAATTAATCATTTTACATATTAATTCTTTCGCAATTAAAAAGTTTTATAGAAAAAAAATAAAGAATAAAATCTCTATTTTTGTTATAAAAAGTGGAAATTTGTTATCGATTTATGGATTCGTTAATATAAAAAATAATTTATTAATAGTATACTTTTATTATCTTATTTTAAAAATAAAATACTTCAATTATTTTTTAATTATAAAATACTTATTATTTATACGATTAATTTCGAGCAATTTGTAGCTTCAAGCAAAGTCATTTACGAGTCTTCAATGAAAATACGATTACAATCGATAGTGTATCACGTATGTGCAAGTGTCGATACTCAAAATAAGCTATTGCCTAAAGTACTCGAAGATCTGGCACGACCGATGCACAGAAGATCGCTTTTGCCGATATGCTAGACAATCAAAAATAAAATAGAAACTTATCATTTCATCACATTCTTATCACTTAATGCGCGATAAATTCCCCGCGCAAGTAGTAGTTTATTGAAATAATATAAAAGTGCTCCCCTGGCGAGAGAAAAATTGCATAATCAATCACGAGATCTCGCCTTTGTTCCACCGACAAGATACTCATCGTAACGAGATAAATCGCATCATGCTCATCGACGTGAAACTTTACGTAGAACGTACCTGGTATCGGCGCGTTGAGGAAGGCCTGGTTTTTCGCCACGAGAAACGAGACGATAACAAATAGGCACCACGCGAGGACGATCATCCTGGATCCAAGCGATCGCTGATCAATACACACGATCTGTTCGATCAGCTTGCCGAAAACTACTCGGTCGACGCGCGCACTACGTGACTTTCACGCGTCTCTTACGCATACACGTAAGCTCAATACTAGTAGTCGGACGATGAAATTTATTTTGCTTATAAAAAAAAAAAAAAAGGAAAAGAAAAGGGAAACGATTTTTCTCGTCGGCACACGTGACTCTCGTTGCACTTGGTGTGGCGCGCCACGCAGACGACTCGGCTCTGCCGACTTCTCCGACCGGTTAGCCAGCAGTGAACTGCTCGTGTTCCTACCTCGGGTATCGTAATATACATAAAGTCGCCAGATAAGCCACGGCTGACACCCCACCACGGACGCACCTCGTCGTGGGACGGCCCGTTCCTGCTCGCTCTCTGGTGCGCGCCACTGAAGAGCTTGAAATCCTCTTGCCTCCCAATACGAAGTACAACGTGGTCCCCTAGCTTGTGGCCCCGCTCGACCCCCCCCCCCGCGGGACGCGATACGCGTCGTTGATACTTACGATCGTGATCGTGTAACTCTTCGTTGTCGTGAAAATTGATGCTCTTTACGTCGACGTCGATTAAGCAACTCTGATTATAATGATGGGGGGGCCTCTCTGGTTACTCTTTCTAAATGAGTAATTAATATACATTGAAATATTATATAGTTGACGTATTATGTTTCGGTTTTCGGAATGTAATGTAAGATTGACGTATATGTTTTGAACATTTAGATTTTTAGGACGCAAGAGTTCTTGTCTCGCGTTTGTTTGTTTTTTCGAGACTGGAAAAGAAATAGTCCGCTGATACTGATTATATATGAATATATACATATGAGTCCACGTGTGACATACAAATGTCCGCGTTACACGTTGATAGTTGGCGAGTAAAATTGACAAGTCGATTATGAAACGATAAAAAGCTTACATCGGTAATACCTGATTGTATAACAACATATCGCACAGTATTTCTCGATCATTTAAATACTTCGTTATAAAACACAAGTTCAATGTAAAATGTTAAGATCACTCGATCATTCTATCGAAATTCTTTCGTCATCGCACGCAATATGATTACGATGTACTTCCGCGCTCGCTGATCCCGCCGAATTGCGCGTCGGTTTTTTTCTTCCGAGAAACTCGGTTCAATTTTTTAAGGCGTCGAATATGTGAGGCGTCATCTGAAATCTTCTTCCACCGAATCCTCGACGTTTCAATAAGCCTTCGTTCGGCATTTACATATATGTCTGCTTCTCGAACCGTGCAGAGCAGATATCATTATATTTCTTACAGTATATCGTCGTGAGATTGAAAAAAATTCGTCGGCTATAGTCGCACATTTAGAGTCACATTTTCAACTTATCAGACTGTACTTTTATGCAGTTTGCATGTAAAATGGCAGAGGGACCAGAGACAACGGATATTTATAACTTCATAAACTTGCCAGAATTATGAACATTTGCTTTTCTCTCCTGTGGCATTTCGTACAGAAATAATAGGAAGATATATACAGAGAAGGTTGGAAATAATTATAATAACTTTAACAAAAGTTTCGTATACATAGCGCGCAAAAATATTAAAAGATATAAAAACGCCCGGTGGGAGAGAGAG